TTACCCAGCTGTTGGAAAGTTGAAATATTGGACCAAATTATATTACCTAAGTTAAAATAAGCACTCCTGAGAATAGATCACTACATATATTAAGGTACGTGTATTACGTAAGAGTTGACATTCCCATTTCTATATCTCATGAACCAGCCTTGGAATCTTCCCTGAAAATAAATTCATTGTTAGTATCTTTTTGGCTATCTGTTTTTGTTAGTTAATATATACACTACTAGCACATTTCCCAAGTTATTACCCTTTACGATTAGCACTTCCAAAAATCTTCCTGACAAAGCCATCAATAGAAACAACTAAACACTTAAAAAACAATAGGTGTCTTATAGGTAACAACTATGGAGTTTGACCAAAAGCTGACACTATGCATTTTAAAAAGTACACTATGCATTTTAAAAAATCAGTAACTCACACGTGGTGTTATTTGATCCATATAGCAGCCCTCAAATTAAGTAGGACACATTGACAATGGAATCAGCAATAAATGACTTGCCCAAAGCCAAATAATTAGCAGGTGACAGAACAAGGGCTTGCACTCCATGTTTTGTTTTTTACTTCTTATTTATTTATTTTTGTTTGTTTGTTTATTTTTAAGTAGACTCTCTGCCCAACTTGGGGCTTGAACTCATGACCACTCATGTCAAGGGTCACACGCTCTACTGACTGAGCCATCCAGGCACCCCTCTCCATGTTTTTCTATCCCAATTCCAGAGCCCTCTTTGTGGATGCAGAAATTAGATATAAACATAAGGAAAATTACAAGAGACAATTAGAATCACAATCAATCAATCAATAGAATTTAAACTATCACTTAAGACATAACCTACAAGACTGAAAATATTTATTGCATTGTATTACACATTCATGTTTCATTGTTACCCTCTGGGCACTGGACTGGTAAAAAGATTTTTCATCTTAATTCATCAGTAAATAGTCACTGACCACTATTGTGCATTGGAACCCTGAGTTGGCTCTTTTTCTTTTTTTAGTAAAATTAACTTGTAGCATTGAGTGAGTGTCCCTTCATTCCAGCAAGTTAATGTTGAATTTTGCTCCACCAAGTGACTGCCTTTGGCTCAGGTCATGATCCTGGAGTCCCTGGATTGAGTCCCACATCCGGGCTTCCTGCTTGGCAGGGAGTCTGCTTCTCCTGCTGACTCTCTCTCTCTCTCTCTCAAATAAATGAATAAAATCTTTTAAAAAAAATTTCCATTCTTTCATTCATAAAATGGGTATCACTTAATGACTATCTACTATATTCTACATCCATTATCGGTAATCTCCACATCTCTGTAGCTTAGAGGGTATAGTTACCTTTATTTTTACGGATGTGGTTAGTATAGCATAGCAGTGAAACACTGAGATAGTAGCCTTGGATCAACAGCAGGTCCTTCAATCAAAAACTACCAGAGTTTGGGGCACCTGGGTGCCTCAGTGGGTTAAGCCTCTGCCTTCAGCTCAGGTCATGATCTCAGGGTCCTGGGATCAAGCCCCACATTGGGCTCTCTGCTTGGTGGGGAGCCTGCTTCCTCCTCTCTCTCTGCCTGCCTCTCTGCCTACTTGTGATCTCTCTCTCTGTGTCAAATAAATAAATAAAATCTTAAAAAAAAAAAAAAAACCTACCAAAGTTTGAATCTGGCTCCATACAAACTAGTTTTCTGAACTTGGATCACTTATGCCATTTCTCTGTTCTCCTTTAAGCCCATCTCTAAAATGGGATAAAATACATGAACTTATTAGAGTTATATGAACTCACAATTAGGTTATTGTGAGTATTAAATGAATTAACATCTGTAAACAGCTTATAGTACCAGGGCTTCTAGTGGTACTCAATGAACCTTAGCTACCATTTTTAATTTGGTGTACCCCAAGACTAAATCTGAGGGATTTTCTTCTCTTCTTTACATAACTGTTACTCCCTAGATGACCTCATTTAATCCTATGGTGTTTTGTTTTTTTTTTTTAAAGATTTTATTTATTTGTCAGAGAGAGAGAGGGAGAGAGGGAGAGCACAGGCAGACAGAATGGCAGGCAGAGGCAGAGGGAGAAGCAAGGAGCCCGATGTGGGACTCGATCCCAGGACGCCGGGATCATGACCTGAGCCGAAGGCAGCCGCTCAACCAACTGAGCCACCCAGGTGTCCCTAATCCTATGGTTTTAAATATAAAACTATACTGATGACTCCAGAATTCATATCTCCTGCCCAACTGATACTTTTGAAGTGTAAGTCAACTCATGTCCCTTCTCCACTCAGAACCCTCCAGCAACTTCCTATCTCTCTCTGGAAAAGTCAAAGCCCTAGCCAGGGCCTACGAGGCCCTATGTCTCTGTCCTACTTTTGTAATCTGTGTCCTACCACTTTTCACTGTCTTTCTTTTCTTCAGCAATAACATGACGTGTGCTTCTTGAACATTGCCTGACACTCTTGCTCCTCTGCGTGTATACTCTTCCCCAGTCAAGTGCTATATGCCTTCACTTGCTTCAGGCCCCTGCTCAAATACCATCTTAGCAGAGATGCCATCCCTAACCACCTAACAGAAAGGAGGATTCCCCTTTCCTTTTCTTCTTACCCTGCTTTATTTTTCACTGGGTATCTATCGCCATTATGCTTATTTTTCTATGGTCTGTTTTCCCCTCTAGTGTGTGAGCTCCATTAAAGTAGGGACTTTGTTTTATTCACAGTCCCTAAAGCAAGTGCCTGGTGCATGGCAGACACCCCATAAATATTTATTCCTTAAGTATAATCATGCTAATTGCCCAGCTAGTGTCAAGAGTTTCATACCCAAGTCAGTTTCCCTTCAATATCTCTTGCTCTTTCTACCCCACTAACCAGCATCCCATGCCAGGGAAGACATAAACCCCATTGTAAGAGTACATCAATTCATAGGATTTTTGTATCTGAACTGGAGATCTTATGCACATTAGGGTTGATTTGCTATTCAGCATAATTTAGCAAATATTTACTGCACAAATATTCATGTGATCTTGGATAAGAAACACCAACCAACCCACTAATATAGGGTAGCAGTTTATTCAAGAATCTCAAAGCCCGGGAAAGCTAAATATTTGTATTTGTGGATCTCTAAGTTCAGAATTATTATGTACACCTAAAATTAATACCTTATACGTCAATTATACTTCAACTTTTTTAAGGCCATTAAAAAATAAGAATTAATAGTTATCACAATAGAACACCTGGTTATCTCTCAAACTTTCCCCATTTTCTCAATCTTTGACCCTCAATCAAGTCCACTTCTTTGCCTAAGCCAAATTTCTAGACATTTTCTTAGATTTCTCTTTACCTCACCTTACACGTCCAATCCTTGTGCAAAAACAATAAATTCTATCTACCAAATTTGCCCTGAGACCATCTGCTTCTCATCAACTTTACCTTTATAAATCCTAGTCCAAGGACAATTCCGCTTTAGCCTAGGCTACCAGCAAAATTTCCTAAGTGCTTGGGGAACCTGGGTGGCTCGGTCAGTTAAGTGTCTGCCTTTAGGTCAGATCGTGGTCCTGGATCCCTGGATCCCTGGATCCCTGGGATGGAGCCCTGCATCCGGCTCAGTGTGTGGGCCCCGCTTCTGCCTCTCCTTCTCCCCTCCGCTTGTTCACTCTCTCAAATAAATAAAATAAAATAAAATAAAATAATTCCCTAAATGCTTGCTTTGCCCTTCCACTTTTTGCCTACCAACTGAGTGATCTTATAAAAATGTAAATTACTCATCATTCCCCTGCTTAAAGCTTCAGTGGTTTCCTTTTGTTATTCCTCTCTAAGTTATTCCACTTAGAAAAACATCCCAATCCTTTCCTAGCCTCCAAGCCCTGCTCCATTCTGACCTTCAGGACAGTCCAATCTTGTCTCCTAGCGTTTTCCCCTTATTCATGCACTCTCCATCACGCTGGCCTTCTTTCACATCTATGAGCACAACACGCCCTTCCCTTTCCCAAAATATGTGTACTAGCAGTTCCTTGTCATTTTGTTGCAGTTTGAATTTCACCTCCCTGGAGAGGCCTTCCCTGACTCCTGGATTTAAAGTGCCCCCCGCCCCGCCCCAGTTCACCTTTTGCTCTGCCAGAGAATGAATGGCACCCACTGATTGTGCACTGCACAGTTGCCATCTGGTATTTTCCTCCTCTGCTTATCACACCCATCTCCCTCCCATAGAATGAAAGCTCCATGAAGACAAGGACTTTGCTTTACCAGCAGGGTTTATAACAGGGCCTCACACATAGTGAGCACTCAAGAAACACTTGTTGAGTGGGTAAACCTTTGTCTCAACTTTGACAGCTTATTTGACAGGATCACATAGTTTCCTAATACAGCTTTAGTAACTCTGCCCCATACATGTTCTCGGCATTGCCTCACCCTACAAAAAGGTCCATGATTCCAGAGGAGGGATTCAGATTCCCCCTCTTGGCAACCTCTAGGTGAAGATCTAGACTCAGTTCAACAGTTCACCATCATCAGATTAGGGGGGAAAGAAAGACAGAAATTAGTATTCCTGACATGAATCATTGTCATTTCTTACTAAAAATTTTGAGGAAGAAAAAAAAAAACCCCACAATTCTTAAGATCAAACACTTTCGGAGTTGAAAATGTTAGAGAAAGTAGATGTGGACAGAAAAATGTTAGCGTGTGGGAGGAAAAGTCAGAAGGAGGTAAGAGAAAGAGCTCACACCATGCTGTTGAGTATCATGGTTCTGGGCTTGGGTACCATGTCTTGCCTTGTACATAAACACTAAGGAAGGGCGTGAAGGAGTGAGGTGGGTGGGGGCGAAAAAGGGGAGGAGTGGGAGACCTGGACGAGAGACTCGAAAAAAGCTAAAAAGAGAAGGACGGAGCGGAGCCACACAAAAGCAGCCTCGGATCTTGCCGGAGCTGCAAGCGTTAAGGGGAGGCGGGGAGTGACGCGGTTTGCGTCTGGAGCGGCTCCTTGGAGTCCACAGCATCCACCGCCGGAGCCTCGCCTTCCTTTCTCCCTCTGCAGACCTATCGAGACAAAAAAAAGAGGCGACCCCCGGACCAGCGCGAGGGACCCACCCGCACGATGACCGAGACCACCAAGACCCACGTAATCTTGCTTGCCTGCGGCAGCTTCAATCCCATCACCAAAGGGCACATTCAGATGTTCGGTGAGTCCTCCCGCCCACCCCCGGAGGCTGCTTCCGCCTCATTCCTTCCCCGGCACCTGTATTTTCCAGGGCGACAGAACAGTAAGGCGTGTGCCCCTCTGGAGGGATGCGCCGGCTCATCCCACTGGTGGGAGGTCAGCCTTTCTATTCCCGGCTCCTGGGAAGGGACGTTGACTGCGCTTCCCAGGCGTCACTTGCTCCGGCCAGACCCGGCTCGCTGGGGGCCAAGGGGTGGGGGAGGGGACGGGCCCGAGGTGACTGTGGGCTTGGACCGGGTGGGAGGTCGAGATTCCAGAACTGGGTGCGGTGGTGTGGTAGTTTGGCCACTTGGCTGTTGAGGATAGGGGTGGGGTTAGAGGTTGGGTCGCGGAGAAGGCAAGAGAGGGTTGGAGATAACGTGCTGTTTGTTTAGGATGGGTGGAAAGCTCGAAGGAGTTAAATGATGTATATGCTTTGGAGACACAAACACACTCACACACTAGCAGGGCTGGGGCTTCGAAGAGATTAATTTAGGGTTTGACTAATGGTTCAGGGCGGCCCAGGGGCGAACGTTTGAGGGTTGTGAACCGTGTATTGCCCGCGCGAGGTGATGGCTGAGTGAAGGGGCTGGGGGACTGGGCCAGCCTGGGCTTGGCTGCCGGGACCCGCTGCCGGGGAGGGGGAGGGGGCGGGGCGGCCGCTGCGGGCAGCCCTTTTCAAGCGAGTGTTGATGGATCCCGGCCCGAGTTGGCTGAGGCTCTGCCCAGCGCGGCGATGGCACCCGGAAGGCTTGCGGCGTGCGAGAGTGTGTATGAGTGTGAATGTGTGAGTGTGTGTGTGTGTGTGTGTGCGCGCGCGCGCGCGCGCGCGAGTTGGGGCGGGGGGAGCGCGCATCACTGAGCGTTTGTTTCTTGGAGGCTTTGGGGCGTGGAGAGAAAGGGAGCGAGCGGTGGCTCCCGGCTGCTGGTTTGGGATTCAGCAGGGGCAACGGAAATGTGATCGATGCCTGTTGGAGATGTCGGGCCACCGGTGAACGCGGCTTCTCTGCTGCTCCGGTAGGACCCAACGGCACGGGGGCGTGCGCGTTTAGACACCGAGGGAGGGACGCGGAGGTCACTTTAGAAGCAGGCGTAGAGTAGAGGTTGGAAGTTGGGGGTGCTTTTTTCCTGGCGCTGAAGGAAACGAGAGGAGGAGAGAGAGTGGGCTGGAGAGGGATGAGAGACCGGGGAGGCCCTGCGCCAGCCTGCCAGCACGGCGCTATCCAGAGGCGGCGGTGCTGAAGCGCGGCGCGCGCCGGAGCTGGCTTTGGACACACGTGTTTACCCTGAGCCTGAGGATTGTGTGAGCCCTCCTAGGGCTGTTTAATGAAAGTCACATCATACCGGTAAAGATCGGGCGAGGTGGCTTTGACTAAAAATACTCTTCTGTTAAACCTAAAAGGTGCGTTGAACTGGGCCCGCTTATTAAAAACCTCATGAAAAGAATATCGAACTACTTTGAGCTGAGGGCAGATTGAGGTAGGCACTTTAATAGGATCCAAGGAGGGAGACTGAGAGGTAGCCATCCCTTCCTCACCATCCCTTTAACTTTTAAAAGTGTCTTACTAGGAGCTAATGCTAGCCTACCTACTAAATAAAGACTTTTGTTTAAGCATCAGAATAGACCAGAGCATCTCATCATTCATCTAAGGGAATATCAGTGCCTTAGGAACACTCTACTTTCACAGAGGTCTTTACCAGAGTCCTGCTTTTCTTCTCTGTCCATATTTCCTCTACCCATTTTATGTCGCTCTACTTTATTCCTCTCTGTTGACAAGACAGGATTGGGCTTTCCTCTGGAACTCCTTGGCACTAGAAATCTTTAGTGAGCGGGGAGCTACTCCTTTTTTCCCTAGGGCTAAAGTAGTTAATTCCGCTTGTTTTGGATTGCAAAAAGGGGTGTATTTAAATCAAGAACTGAGGGGCGCCTGGGTGGCTCAGTGGGTTAAAGCCTCTGCCTTCGGCTCAGGTCATGATCTCAGAGTCCTGGGATGGAGCCCCACATCCGGCTCTTTGCTCAGCGGGGAGCCTGCTTCCTCCTCTCTCTCTGCCTGCCTCTCTGCCTACTTGTAATCTCTGTCTGTCAAATAAATAAATAAAATCTTAAAAAAATTTTTAAATCAAGAACTGAGGATTCTATCTTGCAGCCGAAAAGAGTTTGCTAACAGTATAAAGGCTTTTGTTAAGTCGGTGTTGACCCACCAATTCCCCAGGAGTTTAGAGGGTAGAATATGTGGAAATAGTCATGGATTACAGCAAGCAGGTTTAGACATAGAACAGGTAGAAGAAGACTTTCTGACAGTTGTTACTATTTGCTTGGTATTGAAACTGAGGAATCAGAGAGACTATCTGTCCACAAAGCTTTGTGATCGTCCATTACTTATGTGTAATCCAAAGAGCAACATGGAAAGAGGATATGGGATGTTCAGGGTAGCTTTAAGGAGCTTATAACCTAGTGAAGGATTTAGCACATATACATATGAAAAGGAAACAAGAACAAGAACACAAAATACATATTAAAACTATTCTTTGTAGAATCTCTTATGAGAATCTTTGAGCTCATGATAAATTTTGTGATTTACTTCTGTAGTTTCTGGTTTGCAAAGTCTTTTCATCTCACTTACTCCTAATAAACAAGCTTACCCGAAAGGCATCATTATCTCCATTTTACAAATAAGAAGCTGATGTTTGGAGGTGAAGTGACTTTCTTAAGAAGCTTAAGTGAAATGAAGAGTGGGTGGCAGCGTGGAGACTTAAAGCCCACATTCTTGATTCCTCTTGCAGAGGCCTTTGCCCTGGACCAAATGCAGGAACAAGTGCTCACTGATCTGGCTGCATAATTCCATGAACTCCATTTCCTTCAAACATAAACTAACAGAGATTAGAATTAAATTGGTCATCAACTAAATGAGATTCCTAAATATGCATTTTAAGAGCTTTTTTCCATCTCTAACAAAATCAGTTATCCATGAACTATTTTCTCCTTTTAAATGGCTTTTAAAATCTCCTCCACAACAGTACAGAAATAATTAATTCGATAAAGTTATCAAGCTTTCTTTAAGGTCCCTGATATTTGTAACTGAATTTTTTTTTTTTAAAGACAGGAACAGGACTTTGAAATTAGACATCTTTAACAAAGTTCCTGTATTTTGAAATCCAACTGCTTACCAAAGAAAAAAGAGAAAGACTATAAACAAAAAGAAATGTGTTGTTCAAAACTAATAATTCGGGGCGCCTGGGTGGCTCAGTGGGTTAGGCCCCTAATTCAGCTCAGGTCATGATCTTAGGGTTCTGGGATCGAGCCCCATATCAGGCTCTCTGCTCAATGGGAAGCCTGCTTCCTCCTCTCTCTCCCTGTGATCTGCCTACTTGTGATCTCTCTCTCTCTGTCAAATAAATAAAAAAAAATAATAAAAACTAATAATTCATTCTTCATCTCTGCAAAGTAATACTTACACAGTTCTCAGTATTTGTAAAATATTTTAGAATGAGCTTTTCCTTTTACTTTGAGAAAAGGGAAGTTGATATTCCTAATTGTGGCTGTAGAAACACATAGAAAAATTTAATGTTTGTGATGGAGGTATTTGACACTTATATACTTAACTATAGCTAAAATGTTTTCAGGGATGAGTGAATATTTGGCAAAGTAAATTCATAAACTAGCAGTGTTTTATTTTGTGGGTCTGCCTTATTACATGAGACTAACAAGACACTAGAAGTCTTTTTTTTTTCTAACTCACAAGATCTTATTGAGTATGTAGAGATTATATTTCAGTATAACTTTCTTTGCATTTATATTGCTATGTTTGTCAATAAATTCACCCCTGGGAAATAAGATAATAACTTTAAATAGAAAAGTAAAAAAGGACTGATCAGATAAGTTTTGCCATGAAGGAATTGAAGGACTTGATCACAGCAGAAATGTATTCTGTTTTTTGATGATTGCAAAATAACAGGATTTTTCAGTTTCTCTACTTCAAAATATTTTTACTTTGAACAAATGGGTCTTTTGAAAAGAGATATGATCCAATTCTGTCCCTCTTCAAGGGTAATAAAGAGGGCTTTTAAATTTATTGTGGAATTGGAAACGCAGCCCCTATTGCTACAACTAGAAATCATAAGAAAAATGAATTGAGTTGCTACTGATATAAAAAACTGTCAGAAATCAAGAAACTGTTTAATATGCTTGAAATGCCTGTAGAAAAAGAACATTAAGCACAAAGTGATACTTTATACTTTTGGCACCATTATTCTATTTGATCCTACCCTGCAAGTTAAACTGGATAATATCATCTCCCTTTTACAAATGACAAAGGAGAGGTACAGATGTAAGTCATTTGGTCAAGGTCATATGCAAAAGTCAAGATAAAACTAGTTTTCTAATATCTAGACTCTCTCTCACCCAGAATTCCTCTTTATTCCTTTAATTGCAACAAACTTATGAAAGGAAGAATCACCTGAACTTAGTTATTAACAAAGGGTAATGAAAACTTTGTGAATTTTTGTTCTTGGTAACACGGGCAACCAACAAAATATATTCAACAAAGGTATCTGTTCCCAACATCTTATACCTAACAAGGAAAAGCTATTTCTTAGTACTTAAATATTTCCCATATAATTGTGTTGCTGCAACATTTTTTTCTACCACTCCCCTAATTCCTCCTTCCTCCCCACTCTTCTGTTATCCCAACTAACATCTACTAATCCTTCAGATTTTAGCTTCAATGGTACTTCTTCAGGGAACCTCCACTGACTTATAAATTAAGTATGGTTACCCTGACATGTGATCCCATATCAGCTTGTACTTTCCGTGCCATAACTCTCATCTCATTATGTGCTTAATGACTGTTTTCCATGCTAGACCTTAAGCTCTGTTAGAACAGAAACCATGCCTGGTTTCATTATTGATTTATTTCCTAGTACCTAGCATGGAATAGGTTTTCTGTAATAGTATAATATAAATAACAATTGCAAGTAGCAAGT